AAGAAATAAACAGGAACCAGTGCAGCAGATGCAGATGGCAGGGTATTTTGCAAGTGGTTGGTTTATTTTTATGTATTTATTAAATCTATATGCCTCCTTCCATCTGAAAATTTCAGGGCAGTTCACAACATAAGTGTCGACAATCTAGCTGCTGTATTCTGCACCAAGCAAAGGTTCCAAGTAAAGAGAGCCCATCTAACAATGCTTTGCCATTGGTAGTCTAATTTGTGGCTAAGCAGAGTCTGTCTAGGAGGGGTTGCAGCCAGACCTTGCCCATCACCCTCTCCTTGTGATAATTTGGATCAGAGCAAGGCAGTGGAGTGCACACAGGAATGCCCTCCTGGTAGTGGCAAAGCCATGGAAGAGCCAAGGCTTAATCAGACAGATGCATGGGCAGCCCCCCCCCCAAAATAAATAAAAACCAATAGCCAACTGAAGTTCTGCTCCCACTGACGAACATCCTGGCTATGCCCATGGACAAATGTGTTGATTGACACCAGGGGCTTCCCCCAGCAGAGGAGCACAAGCCACTCAAGTCCCAGAACTGCCTGAGGCAGCATAAGAGATCAAAAGTGCTGTGACATGTCAGAGACTAGCTACCTCCCTTCCTGACTCCAACCTGCCTGCCAGCCACAGCTCCCTCCCCTCTGGCTCTGCTCCAGCTACCTGAAACCTCTTCATTTCCATGACACGCTCCAGGGAAACTGAGCAGTCAGTCCAGCAAACGGTCCACTCTTCGTCCTCCCCCACTTCTTTCAAACCACAGCGTCGAGCAGCACGCCTAACTGCAGCAAAAGAAAGAGGGCCACATGGATCCAAGAGGCACTGGAACCCCTCTGGATCTTGCCAGGGGCAGCGGGAGTGCAGCAACCATCTGAGCAGAAGGAGTCACCCCTCTGGTGGGGGGTGGGGGGAAGCAACCCTCCAAAACAAAAGTGACCCTGGGAACTTCTATCCTAATGAAGGTGCCTCACAGGTCCCCATTCCCAACCAATTCAGAAGCTGCCTGGAGTCACCCTGACTGCTGTTGGTTCCTTCCCCTGTGAGTGGCATAAAGCCAATCCAGGAGACCAAGCAATAACCAGGGCCCATGTGATGATGCTCTCAGGGTACAGGAGGAAGCCACCAAGAAGCAACCCTAACTTACCACTCTCATATTTGCAGCTGGCGAGGTTGATGGACAGCAGCCTGGAATTGAGATGGAACAGTGGCTCAGCGGCTGGGGAGAGCAAATCTTTGAGCTGACAAGCAGCGGCTGCTGGGAGGGGAAATGCCTATGGAAACATGGGGCCAACCCACCAGACCTTGACCCCTGTGGCCTTGGGGCACAGAACACAATGACTTGGGGGGCCAAAGTAGAGAACAGGGGTTCCAACAGGGGCGGTATCTGCACTCCTAAGTGCGAATGGAAACTGCATAGCTTGCCCCGAAGAGATTCACAAGGGGGTCCAAGGGGGAAACCCAGAAGTGGCCTACCTGTGTTTCTTCTTCTTCCTCCTCCTTGCCTCTTCCAGCTCACATTCTTCTGCCAGTTGCTCCTCCAAATCGATCAGGGAGACACCCGGCTGGTCACTCTTCTGCCCTGGTGGCTTAGTGCCTTTGTGCCCTTGGCCCTGGGTTCGCTGCTTGTCCTTGTTTTCTGCATCCAGCCTCTTAAGGCATTCATTGGCAGACTCATCTGAAAGGCCCCCTTCATCATCCTCATCTTCGTCTTCATCAGTTTCATTCTCAGACTCACTGCTTTCATCTGTATTGATCTTCATTCTCTCAGGCACTCTTGCAAAAGAGCACAGGGAAGAAAGCGTTGTCAGCAGATCCTGCCACTCTGACATTTCTTACTAGCTACTGATAATCCAAAGCAAACTTGTCTTCTTTATAATGCTCCTTTGTATTGTGGTATTTTAATGTTTTTGTTTTACTGCAATATTAATTATTTGTAAGCTGCCCAGGGATGTTCCTGAATGTGGGGTATAGGTAAATTTTAAAATGGTAGCACCATCTTTGTGGGTTTCTTCCAAGCCTCTTTAGCCACCTAGGACATCCTCCCTTCCTCTAAAACTTCCAGCCAAAATGCCTCATAATGAATCAGAATGGCAGGTCCACTTTCATATTAATACCTGCTCTGACTGGCAGTAACTCTCCAGATTCTAAAACTGAAGCATTTCTAAATCCACATTTTACTTGCAGTTGATTCAGTTTACCAGTAGAGCACATATCCCACAAATTACTGGAGAGGCTTGGATTATGCAGTTTAGCAGCCAAAGACAAAGGAGGTGCCCTGCCTGAAGACTGGGACATCCAGAGACACTGAACAAGAAGGGGACAGGGAGAGGGCAGCTTGGAGAGGTTGGACAGCCAGACCCTACAGCAAAGTGTGGCAGGGAGTGGCACAAACTTGTGCTGGCCTTAGCAATATTAAGCATGGATTGAGCACTACTGTACTAGTATATTATTCATTGTTTATTTACTATATTTCTAAGCTGTCAGGATCACAGGGTTGTTTACAATATTCATCTTAAAAGTAAATGATAGTAACTAAACCAAAAGAATACAACCAAAGAATTAAAATATTTCTGTAGCCAACTCTGCGCTTCCAATTTCAGCACAGCTTGCTCTCCTTGCAAAGGCCTGGGGGGAGGGGGGAGAGAAGGAAGGCATTAAGGCAGTCTTCCGCAACTGGCCACCCTCCAAAATGTATTGGATGACAACTCCCATCAGCCCCAACCAGTATGGTCAATGGTCAGGGATTATGGAAGTCATAACACAGTCTGTAGGGCACCAGATAGGGGAAGACAGCCTCCAGGAGAGGAACCCATACGCAAGTGACCTGCATGTCTGCAAACAGGGAAGGGTGGTGTGCCACAGAGAGAAACTCTGGGGAAGCGGATCTTGGGGAGAGGAGGGGCAGGGGACCTTCTGTAGCCCTCTAGATGTTGCTCGACAAATGCCAGCAGGCGGCAGGTAAGCCAAGAGCCAGGAGGGGTGGGTGAGTGGGAGCTGTTCCCAGCTACATCTGCAGGGTACCAGCGACCCCATCTTTGGCAGCCTTAGCCAGCCTGGCGCCGCCCTCCAGGTGTTTGGGCCTGCGAGGACCTCTAGTGGTACTGGCTGCGGTTCTGGGCTCCGAGGCGCCAGGCTGGCCGGGGTTGCTTTGGGGTCTGACCGGTTCACATCCACACACTGCCTCGGCGTGTAGGACAGCACTAAAGCGGCCTCAGGTTCACCCTGCGAGGAGGAAGGTCCTCGACGGCCCGCTTCCGCAGGGACGAGAGAAGTCACCGGGGGCGGGAGAGGGGTCGGCGGGGCACCTTCGAGGCTTCCCGGGCCGGGGAGACCCCAGGGCTGCGGGCTCTTTTGCCCCACCGCCACTCATTCCTCCTGGCGGCTCCTTACCGGCCCCGCGGCTTCCCCCGAGGCGGCGGCGGCGCCTGGGCCTCGGGCTGCCTCGGGCCCTGACGCTGTCACCATGCCGACAGCGGGCCCCGCCCCCTCGGGCGGACGCGGACGAAGGGGCGGGGCCGAAGCGCCACAACCATAAAGGGCGGTTCGAAGGACTGAGCGCCGCTTCCTTCCCACTGCGCTTCCGCATTTCGTCATCGCCTGGCGACCTGCTCTTTGTGACGTGAGGCAGGATCTCGCTCGCCGTTGGCCCGCGTTGTGATTCGATTTACCGTACATGGACCATCAAGCCGCGCTTCTCGGATTTGCTCATTCCTATTGGACGTCTCTTCCCTGACATGGCGGTGGGGGGGGGAGAGAGAGAGAGAGAGAGAGAATATGGAAGCGGATATCCGGTCTCGGAGATCCCGGTTTAGAGTCCTCGCTGCCTGTGACAGCATTAGAAAGCCAATGGGCAGCCTCTCTCCTCTCTTCTTTCCTTGTGTTTATCTGGACATTACTTGACCTTGTTTTAAAAAAAGCGTCATTAAATAGATAGATGTAAAATAAAAAGGTGGCCCTGAAGGAAGCCGAAATCACCTCTATCATGCCAAAGTGTGCAAGTTTTAGAGTTATCCAAAACTCTTCTTCACGGAAAGGACCATTAATGGCTACTAGCCACGATGGCTTTTCCCTGCCTTCACAGTTGGAGGAAGCAATGCTTCTGACTACCAGTTTCTGAAAGCAACAAGAAAGGATTGTGCTGTTCTTGTGATTAAATCCTACTTGCCAGCTTCTCACAGACAGATGTTCAGCTAGGATTCAGTTACAGATAGGTAGCCGTGTTGGTCTGCCATAGTCAAAACAAAAAAAATCCTTCCAGTAGCACCTTAAAGACCAACTAAGTTAGTTCTTGGTATGAGCTTTCGTGTGCATGCACACTTCTTCGGAGTGTGAATGTTCAGCTAGGATGTTAGATTAGATGGGCCATTGGCCTGATTCAGTAGGTTCTTATGTTCTTAATTGAAGGTGTACTGAGCAAATAAATACCACCAACAGCTGCAGGACTTGTTATTCAGGGGTGGCTCAGGCAATACTAGGGCATTTTTCTAAAGACAAGATCTCTACAACCAGTGCCCAAGGCTCATGCTTATCCCACGCTGGCTTTCAGTAGCATGGCATTGTCTACAACCCTACTTTTTTGCAACAGTTTGTTTATATATGAAGTTGTCGAATTAAGGATGTGCCAAACTAGATCCTTGGTCCATCTGGCTCAGTATTGTCTACACTGACAGGGGCTCTAACTGGGAATGCTTAGGGATCACACATATTCAGTTTAGCACTCAAACAGTGCAGAGCAGTAGTCCAAGTCCAGGCAGCATCTCCCAGTGGGGCTGGGAAAGATTCCTACCTGATGCCTTAAGAGAGCTCACACCTGACATTGTAGATCGGGGTAACGAGCATGGTGCCCACCTAGATGTGGACTATGATTCCCTTAATTGGCTATGTTGGCAACTCCTGGGGTGGACAATACTGAGCTAAATGGTCTGATTCCGCGTAAGCGCTTTAAGGAAAGCAAATATTGTGTTACAGCTTGTGAGTCAAAAGAACAAAGGCGGGAATTCAGTTGAATTTATGCTTTATTGACCAGCAATTTTGCATGTCCTCCTACCATGGCATTTGTGGGTAAACGAGGTCTCTCTCCCCTCCTTACTGAACAGGCACACATTAGCAGAATTTCCAGAAGCACAACCATCCCTGTGACATCACTCTTTGAGGAGGGCCACCAGCTCACACTGGAGCTGGGAAAACAGAGAGTCTGGGAGGAGACATTTCTGAAGGGTGCGAATGGCCAGTGCTTCTGTGAGACTCTCAAAATCATGGGCAGTTTTGATGGGCAGGTGCCCTGCCAGCTCGCAGAGAGCCACATTGAACGCAGACTCTTCTTTGGTACCAAAACAGGATTTCCTGGCCCAGACTATGATCCGGATTCCAGGTCGGGCTCCTGAGTGGACGGGCCCCTCTGGTTTAGCACCCCTGGTTATGAAGAGGTTGTGAGCGATCTCCTTCTTTACCAGATAGTTGGTGACCTGGCAAACACGCTCTGCCAGCTTCTCTAACTGCTGCCCTTCACTATAGAAGACGAAGCAGGGAACTGGGACCTCCTGCAGCAGATAGAAGTTTGCTTCGGGCAGGAGAGGCTCACAGGGGGCTGATTCAACCAGCAGCTCCCAGTTCAAGTAAAAGCCATGCAGGTGCAAGTGGTTGACCGAGGCAAAGGCCCCAAGGCTGTTGAAACCCACACGGAAGCCAGGGTGGCCACTGAGGAGGACAGCATCCAGGCCAAAGCAGACGACCTGTGGGGTGAGGATCTGTGGCAATGAGAGTGTGGGATCAGGGATGAGAAGGATGTGCCCAAACTCCAAAGGGCTGATATTGATCACTACAAGGACAAAGGCAGAGCCAGGCGGAATCTGAGCACCTACCAAGCAGGGCCTGGAGGAAGTCTGGCCCCTGGACATGCCAAAGAGAATCTCCTCAGGCCGGATCTTGCTGAAGTTGAACTGCTGGGGGTCAAATCTCTGCTGGATGCTTTGGATCTCCTGGGGTCTCCTTCTCTCTGACCCCCTTTGGATGTTCAGCTGGGCCACAAATCCTACCATCCCTGGCAGGATCCGAGTCTGCAGCTCCTCCAAGTAGTAGCGGAAGAGTCCCCGGTTCTGTCTGTCCTTCCAGCCTGACTGAAGAACTCTGTCAAAGCGGGACATGGTGTGGCCAGGGGGTCCACGATTCCCTCTGTTTTCCTGCCACTCTACTCCACTCAGCACAAAGTCCCTCTCGTCATAGGCAAAAACCTCTGCAGGGGAGAGATTGGAGCCCTTCTGAGACTGGGGTCTCCGAGGTTCATGGCTGGTGGGGCCAAGCTCCATGGTTAGGGTGGAGGCAACCAGAGGCTCCTCTGCTACTCTGAAATAGAACTAAGAAAGACGGAAGAGCCCGCATTAGAGAGAGCCACAATGAAGCCCCAGAGAGCTGTTCTTGGTTGCTTTCAGTGCCTGCAGTTCGGCTGGGTAACTCAGCTCTGGACTGGGAGGCCAAACATATGTGGAAGAGGAGTCTGAGGCTGGCACCACCAGCTCTTCCTTTGCAAACGCCAACCTGGTACCCTCCTGATGTTTGGGGGCTGATGGGAGTTGTAGTCAAAAACAAATGGAGGCACCAGAATGGCAAAGCCAGACTTACTGGGCATAGCTGTCAACGTTTCCCTTTTTTTAAGGGAAATTCCCTTATTCCAAATAGGATTCCTCGCAAGAAAAGGGAAAAGTTGACAGTTATGCTTACTGGGTCAGTGTGAAGAATGAAACTCCCCATCCCATTGCTGCTCTGTGGCCCTGCTGGGCTGTACCTTTCCTGAAAGCAAAAGAATTGGGGGAGCTCCTCATGCTGTGAGTCCGAGCAGCGCCAGTGGGTGCCCTCCACTCCTCGACCATGGCGTCCCCCTCGGGCTCCTTAACGCACGGGGGGCTCGCCAGCCCCAGCCTCTGTTGGCGAAAAAGCCCGGCGTGCTCCGGCTTGCGTCCAGAGGGCTGCCGTCTGGGGGATCCGCAGCAGCATTGCCAGGCGGGGACGCCGCCCAGCGCACACACTGCAGCCTCCCCGCTGCTCCACAAGCAGCACAGCCCGGCCCGCTCCTAGCCTCCTACCTCTCCTGGGCCCCGTAGACGAAGTCCGGCCGGATCCCTCTCTCTTCTTCCTCACCTGCCGCCGCTGTGCTGCTCACGTCGGACTGCCGGTGGGCCACGTGGCCGCGTCCCGGGCGGCGCTTCCTTAGTCGCGGTCGTCGGGCGGGACTGGCAGCAGCGTCGACTAATCTGGGGAAGGAAGCCCATCACCGGCTTGGCCACAGCGCGGGATGCCATCGCTGCTGATTCTCCCTCGACGGCTCCGACCGCCGGAGCTTATCTGGTGCAGGGAACGGTGGGAGAGGGGGCCTCCATTCATCCTGTTCTAACTGCCGGCCGGCGAGCGGAGGAGGGGATGCCTCGGAGTCTCCCAGCAGCGACGAATCCCGGGACACCCCACCCCCCGCAACGGGCCATGCCGGGCTCCGCCTGCCTCCTTTCGGAATGGGCGGGGCTACGGAGTGGTTGCCTGGCGACAGTGACGTCCCGTCGAGGGGAGTGGGGAGGAGGAGGAGACAAGGAAGTTCCCGGAGTTTGCCTCAAGTTGTACCGTCGTCGCCATGGGGGCCTCCGGCAGCCGCCTACCCCGAGACCTCCTGGGGGAATACCAGGTACCCACTCCCGCCTCGTCCCTTCGCTGTGCAGCTCGCTGGGCTGTCTTCGCCCGAGGGGGGGGGGGACTATGGACGTCTTCGCTGGGCTCTCTACCTTTCTCGCTTGGCGGGGTGGGGGTGGAGCTGAGGAGCAGAAGTTGTGTGTGGGCGTCAGCTCCCCCCCCCCGGGCTTCCCTCCAGATGTGGCGGGACTCCAGCTCATCCCTGTTGCCCATAGATGGTGCAGGCTTCTGGGATGAGTCCAGCCACATCTGGAGGGCAGCCCCAGGCCGCGGGGCAGACTGGTGAGGGGGGCATGATGGGACCCCTCCACCCCTCCCTCTTCTCCAGCAGACTAACCTTCTCTCCCTCCTTTCCGCTCCCTCTCGCTTTCCTAGGAGCTGACCTTCTTGACCAAGCAAGAGATCCTGCTGTGAGTATATCCCCCCCTCCTTCGTGAGGCGCTTTCTAGGGTGCCTGGGTGTGAGCAGTGGGGAGACAGGCTTCCCAACGACCCTGCCATTGCTGAGCAAGCTTGCCTGACTCCCAAGAGCATTGCAGGGGGTTGGAGTAGATGACCCTTGTTGTCCCTTTCCGCTCTGCTCTGCAGTTCTATGATTTTAAGGTAGCCAAGCCATTTCTACTGGCACAGGGAGGGGCTGGAGATACCAGCAGGGGTTGAACTGGGTGTCCCATCACTGAGCTGCCGTGGCCCTCCCTCTCCCCTGGGAATACCAAGGTCCAGTCCCCTCACCCTGGCCTCAGCCCTGGGTTGACAGGCGGACTTTGCTCAAGGGTTCAGAGGCACCTGCAGCTTCACCTGGAGGGATGTGGTGATGACAGTGGGAATTCCCCAAGCTGAGTGTGGGTAGATAAGTGGGATGGGGAGGGCACTGCCAGGCATAGTGCAGCACAGGGAAAACACCCTCCCCCCCACCCCCACCCCACCAAAGAGAGGAGGAGCTGGTGCTGCAGGGCTGATGGAAAGCTGGCGCCAGCTGGGCAGGGCATCCATCCAGGGAGGAAGGAACTTGGCTGGCATTGCCCGCTGTCTTCTCTTCCAGGGCCCACAAGCGATTCAGTGAACTGCTGCCCAAGGAGGACCGGGATCAGGCTTTCACCACAAGGATTCCCAAGAGCAAGATTTTGATGCTGCCTGAACTGCGGGTATGCTGGGAGGGGAGGGGAGGGGAACACTGTTTGCCTCTCAGGAGAGGCCCTGGGCAAGGTCTGTACAGGATACATGTTTATTGTTCTGTGACCCATACAGAAGACTGCAGCTGGGTGCATCCAAGAGCTGTGGCTGAGCTGTACATCCCATCTATTTGCTAGTGAGCCCAACTCATTGTTTTGTTTTTGATATGTAGAGCCCTAAAGGGCCCAGAGCCCACCTCTGAAGGCAGTCTTCTCCCTCCCTGTATTGTCCAGCCTGTGATTTGAGATCTGCCAGGATGGCCATCTTGGGGGTACCATCACCAAACAAGGTCCTGGGTGCTGGGACTCAGGATAGGGCTTTCTCGGTGGTGGCACCCTGGTTGTGGAACAATCACATCCTCCAGTAAGCTGGTGCCTTCCTCTAGGTCTTTTGAATTTAGGCCTGTATAGTGAAGAGGGAGCACGAGGAGAGTGATCTTTGTACTATACTGTAAGCTGCAGATTTTTGTCCGAATTTTTGACTGGATTTATGTAGTTTTTACTGTTGGGACCTGTCCTGAAATCATTTATAATGAAAGTGGGGATATAAGTATTGCAAATAAATCTAATCTCTGATAATTGGTTGTGTAGGCTGGAGATGATCACTGGGGGCAGGGGGCATCCAGCGTCACTTGGAGGGTCCAACACATTTCTCCATCCCTCCCATGGGTCGATCTGTAGGGCCAGTTTGCTGGTATGGGTTTAGCCTTCTGTTCCTTTCCACCTGCACTGGCTTTGCATAACACACTGGAGGAAGCTTCTTACAGTCCCCCCTCCCCTCTTTGTGCTTCCAGGCAAACCCCTTCCGCCACCGCATTTGCCACGTCTTCTCTACTACGGATGACAGGGAAGGCGGCCTGTCCTTTGAGGACTTTCTGGACATGCTGAGCGTCTTTAGCGACTCTGCAACGCCAGAGATCAAATCGCATTACGCCTTCCGCATCTTTGGTGAGTTCCAGCCTGGTTGGGGCTTAGTCTGTGACAGAGAAAGCGGAAACACTTTGTTGGGAGACTTTCTGTGAGCCAAGAGTGCAGCTGCACTCTCTTTGAAAGAGCTGAAATGCAAGAGCTGCGCAGGGATACGGATTGGCACACAGTGCAAAAGGAGCTTATGGGATTCATAGCCTCAAGACAGGATGGCGCTGGCTTCCCAGCAGCTTAGTCAAAGGATCAGAAAAATTCGAGGATTGATGGCTACCAGCAGGCATGGGTGAAGGACCCTCTCTACATCTGGAGGTGGCATATCTCCTTGCTTACCCCATGTTAGGAAGGGGTCAGTTGGGAAGTGGCTTTTATCTCCCCTGCCTGGGCACTGCTGGACTTGATGAGCAATGGGAAACCCGTCTGACCCGTCTACTGCAATTATTAAGTTTGCAGATGACACCACCATAATGGGTTTAATAACAGGGGGAGACGAATCAGTGTATAGAGGGGAGGTCCAAAAAACATCTACATGGTGCCTAGGGAACAACTTGCACCTTAATATCAGCAAGACAAAGGAGATGGTGTTGGACTTTCGGAGGAAGAGAGGAGAACTAGCCCCGCTGTACATCGGGGAGGGCTGTGTAGAGTGAGTCTCTTCCTTTAAATTCCTAGGAGTTTATCTCAGTGAAGATCTTACTTGGAAAATAAATACAACCCAAGTGGTTAAGAAAGCCCAACAGAGACTCCATCTCCTCAGAGTCTTGCGGAAGAACAATGTCAATCAACATCTGATGATCTCCTTCTACCGGTCAACAATAGAAAGTGTCCTTTCATACTGCATCACGGTGTGGTATGCTGGTTTGACATCGTCTGACAGGAAGTGCCTACAGAGGGTGGTGAATACAGCACAAGATATTATGGGCTGTCCTGTGAATCCACTGGATGAAATAGCGAAATAAAGTTGCCTCAGGAGAGTGAGGAAAATTCTTAGGGATGATTCACACCCTGGCCGGCACTTTCTTGATCTCCTGCCCTCAGGCAGAAGATATAGAAGCATGATTAGTCGCACCATCAGGGTAAAGAACAGCTTCTATCTGTGGGCTACTGAATGAAAAGATAACAACAGGGCAACTGACCTTCGGGTTTGGTGTGTGTGTGTGTGTCAGTAAACGAGGGGAATTAAGACTAAGAGAGCTGAGTGAGGGGTGCTCGTGTAATCTCACCGTATACAAGTTGTACAAGTGACAATAAAGTATTTCAATTTCAATTCAATTTTCAAATTCAATTTGAAGTAGCCTGAGCTGGCCTTTGAGTCCCCAAGGAGCACTATTAAGGCTATTATGGTATGTTATGTCTCCACGGTCAGGCAGAGTAATGCTTCTGAATGCCAGTATCTGGAAGCCACAAGAGGGGAGAGGGCTCTTGTGCTTGGGTCCTGCTTGTGAGCTTCCATTTGGGGCACTGGGTTGGCCACTGTGAGAACAGGATGCTGGACAAGATGGGCCATTGGCCTGATCCAGCAGGTTGTTCTTAGGCTCCTGCCTGGGGATGCCTAGGTGGCCATTGCCATGGAGGCAGGAAGGTGGTCTCTGCCTCTTTGACCCCACACCAGGGATATATGATAATCCATATTCTTTCAAACTTGGTTGGAATCCCAGCATGGCCAGTGGGTGAGGGATTACCCAGAAACATATTGAGGGCCACAGGTTCCCCTGGACTGCCCTACATGGCAGGGCTGCTCCCCCCCCCCCCCCCGCAGTCCCTTACACTATCCATTTGTCCCTTCTCAAAAGCAGAGCAGTGGAGAAATCTAGACTATCCTTCAGAGCTTTGCTGAACGTGGCCTGCTTCTTTCTTAGAAGCAAAGCAGGCCTCCCCCCTCAAAATAAAAGGACCCCTGGGAGCAGGCAAGTTTGGTAAGCTCAGCAAGTGCCAATTAATGGTCTGTTCTCCTCCCGCACCCCCAGATTTTGATGATGATGGAACTCTTGACAAGAAGGATTTGGAGAACCTGGTGAATTGCCTGACGGGGGAAGGCGAGGACAGCAGGCTGAGTGCCATGGAGATGGACCAGCTCATCCAGAACGTGAGTACCAGCCAAGGTGGGGCTACTGCTGCTGGGGAGCTGGGTTCGAGTTCTCACCTCTCTCCCTGGGTGGGGTGAAGAGGAAGGTCGGCCCAATCTGGGAAGTGCTGCTGCTCTTGCCCCACGAGGCTCCTTTGTTTCCACCAGATCTTGGAGGAGTCCGATATCGACAAAGACGGGACCATCAATCTTTCCGAGTTCCAGCACATAATTTCCCGCTCCCCAGACTTCACCAGGTACCTTCTGCCCTTCCCTTGATTCACTTGGGGTTGGGCTTGCTCCCTGATTGACCAGCTAGCTCACAGCCAGGGGTGTGTGCATGTGTGAATGCTTCAGGAGCCTGCTCTGGGAGTATTCTGCCTACGAGCTCCTGCGGTCCCAAGTTTGCAAAATCAAACTCATTATTCCTCCTCTTCCCTTTTCTCTCCTAGTTCCTTCAAAATTGTGCTCTGATTCCTCCCTACTTCTCCCTCCCGCTGGAAGATGCCTCCATCTCTCTACAGAGGGAACAAACCACCTCTTTCTAGCCACCCGAGGACAGCTGTGCCAAGGGGAAGATCCTGCCTTGCAACCCCACCCAAGCTCTAGGTCCAGACAGCAACCAGGCTCTTGACAGGGTGGGGTGTCTT